TAGCGGCAGGCTACCAACAGTCCGGGCCCAACGAGCTCGACAACACAAAGGCTAGCAGTGCCAATACCAGGCCCACTCAGCAACGAAGACGCCAGCGAAGTCGCCGAACTGCCACCCGTGTCCTGCCCGAGCTCAGAGGTAAAGAAGAGACAAGCTCGGACGAGGAAAAAACTGCCCCTATTCTCTCAGTTCCTTCCCCCCTCTCATCAGAACTCCTTGCAGTCCCCATGCCCAGAGACTTCAAACTCCCCCCTTTAGATAAGTATGATGGGTCCTTCGACCCCAACGACCACGTCGATGCCTTCCAGTCCCAAATGCACCTAGCCAGGGCTAGTGAACCGTGCATGTGCGTGGCCTTCACCACCACCTTCAGGGGGGTGGCTCGCACTTGGTACAGGAACCTGGCCCCCGGGTCAATAAGAAGATGGACCYAGTTCGTGCAGGTCTTCACCGCACACTTCGTTACCAGCAAGCGGTGCCCCAGAACCGAGGAAAGCATCTTCGGAGTAGTCCAGAGGGAAGGAGAGTCCATCCGAGGCTACATAAAGCGGTTCAATGACGCGTGCTTGCAGATAGCGCGATTGGACCCCGCGGTGCAACTCGCGGTGGCCAAGAGAGGAGTAACACACAAGGAGTTCAAATGACACATGGTAGCTAACCAGCCCGCGACTATAGCCGAATTCCTCAAGCTCGCGGATAAGTTCATGAGAACAAAGGAAGAGATCAACCAAAGGACCGAAAGCGGGATCGAGAAAAGGAAGAGGGAAGGTGAGCCCTCCAACCTAGTTGACAGAAGAAAAAACTCGGCCCGGGAGACGAAGCCGAGCCAGCCATTCCGAGCTCCCTTAGCAGCTCGGACGGACTACACACCATTAAACACGAGGCAGATTGAGATCTTGATGACGATCAAAGATGCCCCATACGTAAAATGGCCATCTCGCCTAAAGGGGAACCCAAACGAGAGAAATAAAAACCTGTACTATAGTTTCCATAAAGATCACGGCCATCAGCCCGCCGCTGACCTCAAGTACCTGACCAGTCTATGGTCCTTTGCGCGATGGGGCATCGACCTCCTGGGGCCATTCCCACCAACAACAGGTGGGAGGAAGTTCCTAGTGGTGGCGGTAGATTACTTCACAAAGTGAATAGAAGCTGAACCTCTGGCAATAGTTACAACCCGAAATGTACATAACTTCTTTTGGAAGAACATAGTATGTCGCTTCGGGTTACCTCAGGTACTAATCTCCGACAATGGCAAGCAGTTCGAGGATATCAAGTTCTAGGAATGGTGCCAAGATATGGGAATTCGATAGAACTTCACATCTGTTGCACACCCGCAAGCAAATGGTCAGATAGAAGTAATGAACAGAGCTATCCTCCGCGGACTGAAAGCGCGACTAGACTGAGCTAAAGGGTTGTGGGCGGACGAGCTACCAAGTGTTCTATGGGCCCACCGAACCACGGAAAAAACCGCCACAGGAGAAACCCCCTTTAACCTCACCTACGACACTGAAGCGGTAATCCCGACAGAGATCGAAATACCTACACTACGAATTAAAGCATATGACAATCTAACAAACGAAGACGAATTACGTATCAACCTCGACCTACTAGACGAGGTAAGAAACCTCGCGTACATCCGGACCGCAGCCTACCAGCAAAGAGTAGCTCGGTACTACAATGCCAGAGTAAAGAAGCAGAACTTCCGCGTCGGCGACCTAGTTCTCCGTAAGATCATGGAACCCGAGCCCGGCGTGGGCAAACTTGGACCGAATTGGGAAGGGCCCTACCGAGTAAAGAAAGCGCTCGGGGGGGCATACAAGCTCGAAACTTTGGAGTGCAAACAAGTACCCCGAGCGTGGAACATCGTTAATTTGAGACGATACTATCTATAGATCACTAAGCAAAGTGGACTAAGTCGCTACCAGAGCCTTAAGGCTAGAATGCCGAGTTAACAAGGACCTCGGCATAGGCAAGCGAAGGCAAAACAGGTCGCACGAGTACAGTAACCCGGGCATATGATCAGTTCGGCAAATACGGTCAGTTCGGGAGAGAGAGCAACCAACACTTAACCAAAAGAAAGTCATTCCATTGCAAAATAAGGGAGTGTACATTTCAATATATATATATATATAATATCGAGCTCACAGGCCCGGAGGTACTTCTTCACCATCAGAAGGCACTTCAACGATACCCGAAGGCCCTGCCTCATCCTCAGAGTCCAGTTCACCGTCTGCAGCATTGGCCGTCTCTTGAGTTATACGCGAAGTGGTTATAGCGCTAATATCGAGTTCGGGGTACGTATTCCGAATCATCCACCGGCTTAGTTTAAAGCCCCTTCTGTACGAGCCCATGATCAGGTCGTCAAAGCGCGACGAGGCGATATATTCATCAACGGCCTTCTTCTTGGCATCCTCGATGCCTTGAGAAAAGATCTGTGTCCTCTCCTTAATGTCCTTTTGAAGGTATTCAACCTGATGCTGCAAATCCAACCTCAGGTCCGCCATATGCTTCACCACAACTCCATGGCCTCGGTATTTCTCTGAGACCTCGCCAGCCTGGCCTGAGCAGCTCGAGAAGCCGCCTCGGCAGCACGGGAAGCCTCTTTGGCAGCTCCTGCCTGCCTCGAGCTGCTTTCCACTTGGGCCGCTAAGGCATGGATAGAAGAATTCACCTACCAAAAGGAAAAATAACAAATGATCAAAAGAACGATAGCGAGAATGATAAAAGCAAAGAGCCTGAAAAGAAAATCGCTAACTTACCACCATGGCATGAGTGGCAGCACGACAAGCTACCTGTTTCAAAGGGAGCTCGGTCCATGCTGCGACCTCCTCAGGATAAATGGTCTCCCTACTCTTCTGAAGAGCGTAGTTCAGTGACAACACGCTCCTGAACTCGCCTTGGTACCCCGATCCTGAAGGCCCAGCTCACGTATAAGCGGGAGCCCCCGTGTAAGTAGCCTCGGCATAAGGGGCCCCTGCCGCTTCTTGTACTGGAGGGGCCATCTAGGGCTCCTTGGGCGGATCCACTGACGGGTAGTCTGGTACCTCGGGCTCCGCATCTCGGGGCAGCTCGGCACGAGTTCACTTGGCGACTCGCTTCCTCCTCTTCATGGCGTGAAACAGGTTCCCACCACGAGTCTTCTCTGAGTCCATCACACCTGCAAAAAGAGCTCGGCATCAGGAAAACGAAAGAACAAAGCAAAACAAAAGGTAAGCCTCTGAGTAAGGAACCTACCCGAACTCAGATCGGCCTCGATGAGCTTGGTCTCCGTCAGATAATGGTGGCATTTTAGCCCAAGCCGTGCCCATTCCCAGAGACACTTCGCTGTCTCCTTATCAAGCGTAACACCGGCATCAGGGGCAGCCATCCCCCACCCGGTTTGGAACGGCCACCCCAATGCACTTCGCACCCCGATGTTGTCCCGTTTCCACGCCGGAACCTTGTTGGGAAGATTGTGTAAAAGCTTAAAACCCGGGCGAGGAGACAGGTAATACGCCCGCCTACACCCGGGAAGGGGACCCGCTTGCTTCTTAAGCATTAGRATGGAAGAGAAGATCTCCAGGTCTAAAGGCAAGATCTGTTCACAAAATAGGGAGATTGTCCCCACCAAGTTACGAATAGAATTCGGGTGAAGCTGGCCGACAGTAACACCGAAGTGATTCATAACCTCGACATTGAGGGGTGGAAAGGCAGGCGCAACCCAGCAGCGAGCTGCTCCCGGAATATCACGATCTCATCAGGACCGTGTTTCCAAGGGAAACTGCCCGAGGTTATGAAGTAGGTGTACTCCCTAGGCAAGTTGAACTGGGTAATAAGGGAGTGAAGCCCCTTAGGCGTCATGGTCGAGGGCCCAAACTTGTCTAACATCCGACCTCGACGAGAGGAGGACGCCAAACTACCCAAGGCGACTCGGCCTATGGGTTCGAACTCTTCCTCGAGCTCTACCTCAGGTTCGCTAGGACTGTTGGGGGATGCAACTTGGTTCGTAGAACCTACATCTGACCCCCTTGAAGAACTGTTTGAGCTATCCGAGCTAGACATCGGGAGGAGAAGGATTCCAGGAAAGTACTCACCCGGAAAACGCAAACGGACTATGGGAACTTGAACGCGAGCTAAAGGCTTGAACGCGAGTTAAAGGCTTGGACGCGAGCTGAAACTTGGACACGAGCTCAAGAAGCAAAACGCAGGAGAATGACCAAGCGACTGGGGTCCCCCACTATTTATACCCACAGTAACCAAAAATCAACGGTTCCAATCAAAGCAAATCCAACGGCCCACAGTCACGCTGACCGCACGTCTCCTGAGACCGAGACGTCACTGGCCGCACGTCTTTTCAAACTGAAAGAGCGCCAGCACATGTTGCCTCGCATATTATATATTTATTATATATAACATAAATGGTTTTTATTATATATAATAATATTGGGCCAAATTTGAACCAGGGCCAAACTTATTTAGGCCGAGCCCAACCCTAAAAATGACTGGGGCTGATATTTAAAGCCCAAGCCCAAACCTGTGGGCCTGAAGTTTTATTCAAGTCCGAAAAATAACAGGCCGGGCCTTCGGGCTATCCGGTCCATTTAACAGGTCGATCTATGCATGGTGAAAGAGTGGATACTGGATAGGGACTACTTTTCCACAAGCTTCGAGGGCTCAGCTAACGTAAATGATAAATTAGAAAAGCTCGCCTAATTCACCTTTTTTACGAAGAAAGTAAAACGAAAGGAAGAGTCTCTTTCGTCGGTCGTCTCAATGTACTGTGTACGTCTACTGCGTCGAGACGTCGAGTTGGGAACTTGGAATTTCCTGAATTTTTTCTCTCCACTTCTTTTTTACTGCATTTCGGTCTGTCTCATAGCAGACAAGTGAGACCTGTCACAGACGGAATGGAAGTGCAGAATATCTGAACGGAAAACGAAAACTCGAATTCTAAAACAATAGAGCAGAAGGCCAAAATAATACCATTCACCCTTTTGGTTGATTCCTGAGAAGTTTCAGATACATTGTCAAGAATTATAACACTGTAAAAAAGATAAATCCTACTAATTTATTTTTTGAGGTCACAGACTCTCAGAGGAGGCGGCCCGGTGACTCGTCGAACCTCCGTTTTGAACAGAAGAAAACAGAACTTGTCGATCGAAAAGTATAGGAACCCTCCTCGCGAGTGAGTCACAAACGATCCAAAACTCTTCCCCACCGCGCAGTGCCAAGCTGGGCCGTACGACGCATCGAATTCCTGCAAAATCGATCAGTGGTACGCTAAGCTAATTAAAGGAAGGCTCCACTTGAGCTTTAAGTTCATTTATTCTCTTTCATCATCTGAGATCTTAAATCCCGGAAGTTGACATCTAAGCATGGTTCTCCGGCGATCCCGTGAAACTGTATTAGTTTGATCATAACATCTCCGATGATGGTCAAACAACAAATGGAATTGTACAGTCAACTAAAGAGGAATAAAGACATAATTTTCTTGTCCTAGAATTTAAAATCCTAAATTGGACCACCAGATTGGTTGTTGATCTTTCTTCCTTATTTTTTATAGTTTTAAGGCGTACCTTCTTCAGAGCGAGAGCCATGGGAGTAGGGTTGGGTCGTGGGCTGTTTGAGGCGGCATCCATAAGAGCCCTGGCCAGTCGGAACGCTCGCTCTTGCATGGCCGCCGGCATATCGGCCGATCTCAACCTTACATTCAGCTCCATAGCAATTGCTGCCATCTTCGCCCCCATATCCACAGGCGGCAGTCTCTCTACAGCAGGTACTATCTTACGCCGTGATGGATGGACCACACCCTCCTTATTCCTCTGTTTCGCAGTTCCAATTCCATTCCTCGCTGCTACGTCCTCCATGAACGAGAGAGAAAGTTGGTAGCAGAAATATTTGAAGTTTATTTGACTGTCACGACAGAGTCGGCTCTTTGCATATAAAGTTATAAACCACTGATTACAAAATTATGGACCGCAAAACACGGCGATAAACATAATTAGTATATGACACCTGTATCACAATTTTGCCTTAAGCCACCGTGATGATTTGAGCATACTTATAGCACATGTGTGCTTACTGCTTACTGCTTACTGTATTCACCAAGTGAGCCAGCCTACTGGACTTTGCGTGAAGGGGAGCGGCCCGAGAGGATTTTTTGCCACCTGTCGCCCTCTACACTAGAGAGTCTTCTAAAATCAATACGCACAGATACATCTTGCTTAGATGTTGTAGACAGGTGGAAACTTGAGAGAATTAGACAAATAGTCAAAGGGTCAAAGGGGGAGGGAGTAGAGAGAAGTCGACACACGGAGTTTTATGGTCCCCGTTATAGCTACTTGAATCTTTTCCTCTCCGTCCGGTAGTCCCTACTCCCTAGTCCGATATCCTAGTCCTAAATCCTAATACGCCAATATTAACCTTATCAGTTTATTGCGGTTTTTCCACACTACGTTTACGGAAGTCGGGACGATCAATTTTTGGCCGGTTTCCGGGAACATCAGAACAATTCTCGGATGATAACAGAAGGGAATTCGCATTGACTCACCACGGGACGCGTCGCACACACCCCACAGTGCTTCCCAACGCTGCATTATGAACATCTTGTAACATCTTCTCATCACAAATACAGATGATGTTCCCAATCTACATTGCAATCTGCTGTGAGATGCGTGTTGGGTGCGCTCAGTGGGGAGACAATCGAAACTCACAATGATGGACCACATAACTCTGTGTCGAGTACGGGGTGGCACTGCTTTTCTGTTGGAATACCATGTCTTTACCAAAATACTAAATAGTCTCCATCCAGATCCAGGGATGGATTTCACGTTAGACCATCCATACGGGTAGGTCCCACGACGCTGAGGGCTCACATTCTGATACTGCTCAGTCACAAAGCGCACCTCACGCCGATCTCACAGTGACATCTCCCTCTATATTAGGAACAGTGTTTTTGAATTGTCATTGACGCAAACGGTTAGAGCGTTCAGCCCAAGAATCGTCCAAACAGCCAGTTCTGGCCAAAAATCATTGATTTGGTCAGCGATTCGTTGATCTGGATAGTCAAACTGTTGACCATGGTTTTTAAAAATCGGACCAGACCAGGCGGTTGGACTAGAAAAATTGGGAACCAATCAAGTGACCGATTTTGGTTTTTCCCAAAATCAGATTTTCTTCAAAAACCGTTGATTTTGGTCAGCAATCCGCTGACCCAGGCGGTTAACCGTTCGAACGGTTTTGATCATTTTTTTTTGTTAGAACGGGCTGACTATTCGGTTCGAACGGTCGGACTGTTTAACCCGATAACTGGACCCCTGACTGGTTCGGTCTCTAGGTCGGTTTTAAAAACCATGTTGTTGACCCAATCAACAATTTGGCTGTTTTTTTTTTTTAATTTTTTCAGTTAGAATGGACCATTTATTCAAACCAGATGGTCAAATCATCAACCTAAAAACCGGTGGTCAAAACAATTCCAATTTCAAGTAGGTTTTTAAAACTTGATTAGGAACATCTCCCGTTAATAATTACATATAAATATGAAAGATATTCCCAATGAATAATTGGAACATATTGTGAGGAGCAGATTTGAACATATCATCCAACCAATTGGAATCTTCTCATAACAGAACATTCCTCACATCGACCTTACAACCACACCCCATTGTGGCACTATGTATTGAGAATATCTCCCATAAATAATAGGGGTAATTCTTGATCAGTACCCTGTACTTCGGCTCAAGTGACAATTTGGTTCCCAAACTTTAAAATGCGATAATTCAGTACCCGAACTTTCAAAATGTGACAATCCAGTATCCGAACTTTCAAAATGTGACAATCTAGTACCTACCATTAACCATTCCACTAATCAGCCATTTAGTGAAAGTTGAAAAGTAAAAAATGCCCTAAGAATGCTATCTAATTCTCTTTATTAATCATCCAAATATTAACAATAAAATGAACAGTCCCAAATTCTAGATTCTTCTAAAGAGTCATAAACTTTTTTGAATAGAAGAGTCTAAGATTTGAGACTGTTCAGTTTTTTATCAACGTTTGAATAGTTAATAAAAAGAATTAAAGTTTGAAGACCAAATTACTGTTTGAGTCAACGTGCATGGTACTGATTGGAAAATTTCCCTAAATAATAATATATAAATAAAAAAAATGTTTCCGATGTGCCACAAAATATAGGTTCGCAACGCCTTCAATATCGACAATCAATGTGACTTGATTGAACTCTCATAAATCTTAATAATCTGAATCGGTAATCTTTTTCCGACTATCAAGCGCGGCCTTCACGGCTTTAATTAGCGAGAAATGTTGATGGAACATGGAAGAGATTCTTTTTCCGATTATCAAGCGCGGCCTTCACGGGTTTAATTAGCGAGAAATGTTGATGGAACATGGAAGAGCTTAATAGGAAAATCACTGGATTTGAGGTGACAATCTGATGTGCCCACTGTGTCATCGACTCCACGCCCACTAGATTCTGCAAGTCTTGGGCCGTGCCACCTGCGGCCCGGCATGGCATGGTCCAGCAAGACGGTTCACGGGCTGTGCCAGGCCTGGCACGACCATGTGGACGGTGCTGGGCCTGGAGTTTTAGGTCACAGGCTGGCATGATATGGCAAGATCGAGCGGGCCGTGCCGCCCGTAGTCCAATCCAATACGGCCCGTGACACTGTCCATATATATTTATGTATATTACATATATTTATATAATATTATATAAATTATAATTATATAATAATATAATATATTAATAAAATAAATATTTTTTAATTTTATTATACTAATTTATTTAATTATTGTATATATAAGCAATTGTATACAAAAAATTCATATAAAATTAAAATTTTAAGTTTTTTATCAATTTTTTTAAATAAATAGCTTTGGCCCGATGCACGGCCCGACCTGAACCAAGGCTTGGCCCACGGGCCAGCCCAGCCCATAGCACAGCATGGCACGGATCAGATTCACCTACTTCCGCATCCATCTGCGTCCATCTGATTGTGTTTAAAATAACTAAAATAATTAATTATTTTAACTTAAACATGTACGATAATGCATATAAACATAAATGCTAAAAATTATAAATTATAAACTTCAAATATTTATATATAATACCTATCTATCTATATATGAACTTTTTATCAGATTCGGATTTTAATTGTATTAAATATGTTAAATATACTCCAGTCCGATTATTAATCAGATGTAAATTCTAACATTCAAATCCGGATAATTGAATTCAAAATTGAATCAGGTATGACTTTTAGAGTCCATTGACAGCCTTAATGGGTCGGGTCAAGACACCTTTGACAAGGGCTATAGCCAGGCGTAGCTTGGGTTTTGGGCTTAAAACAGAACCCCAAAATGGACCTTATTTTTTATTCTGCAAAATTGACTAGCTGTACCCCTATTGTTTGCAAAATGATTTAGTACTTTCATGTCTTCTAACAATAGAACATTGCTGTAAAGTGGATAGAAAGATTGAAATGTCTATTTTACCCCTTATTATTCTTCACATTTTCAAAATATGCCTCTATTAAACAAAACAAAGTAATTCTAAAAATAGAAAGATATATATTATCCAAGATATAACAAGGGACCTCCCATTCTTGACAAAACCAGTGAACTTAAGGGATTGAGGTACGCATTGATACCAAAGGCTTTTGGTACTGTTCTTCCCGTTTACCTGTTTGATTTGGACTACAATCCGCTTGTGACTCCAAATAAAACCAGCTCACTGTGTATCGGTAGACCATTAATTGATATGTATTAAATTCCAAATCTTATAGTAGAGATCCAAAGAGCTCCAACATCCAAGTTCAGGTGAAATAAGAGCCAATATACGGACCTATGCACATCAACCCAACAATAGTAGGCTTAACCCAGAACTCTGGATCAAGGAATTTATGTCCAGTGTTTGACTAATCCAAAATACCATTTATTATATTACGTTTTTGGAGAATAACAATCTAATTTCTCAAAAAAGCAATCACAGTAGTCAAAGCTCAAAACGTGGCAGGGAAGGTGCAAATGTGCAATACGTTTTTCTTCCTGAGTTACCGTGGTTTACAGGGGGAGATCAAACATAGTAATTCAACAATGTTGGTTTTGAACAGAACACCCGGAATGAGTTGAGAAACTTTTGGGCGATGGATACAAGGAGAAACCCCTCTCTGGAGACTGGAATTGCTCCGTTCCTCCTTCAAAGGCGATTGAGGCATCCAAAGGCTTTCTTGAGAGAATAAATCTTCTTTATTCTGAGCTTGTTGCGGCTGAGAAAGGAGATGATTGCTGCAACTTCCAGCGTCATAATTGAGGTTAATCCCATACAACTTTTCATCCTTCTTACTTTTTAAAATATTTCTGCAAAATTAAATAGAAGCTGATTTAGGGTGCCGTTCCTTCCGATCAAGGAACATATGGTGGAGACATAAAAATGATTTTATAAAAACAGGGTAGGATGATTGAGGTGTCAATGCTGAGAGGGAACTTGGTCCAAGTGACCTTATTGACACATAAAAGAAATTTTGAAATGAAACTTTAATGAGCAAGTAAAAATGAAATTTTGATGCACATATTACAAAAAAGCCAAGTTTGGTGAAGCCTTTGTTATTCTGATGCATACTATTGCAGAAAAAGCCAAGTTTAATGAAGCGTTTCTTATATCTCTTAGTACTCCCCTGGGTCGATCTAGAGAAACTCACAAACATGAAACCATTTACAAAAACCGATTTGAGCTTGAACCCAAATTATCCACTTGAAAACAAGATGTTTAAATCCACACCAACATGGTTCCCATGACATTTACTTCATGTCCAGCGACATGATACATTAGGAATCGAAACCCTCACCAATACCACCATGGCTATTGGGTCATTGTTGAGGCAAACAGTTGTAATCGTTTACTCATTGATGGCTTGGTTTTCAGGATTATTATCTTCAGTGAGTTGATGAAGTTAAGAGAGCTTTTTTTTTTTTATAATTGAATAATAAATTCATTAATCAAAAGATAGATCTATTGCAAGTATCCCAGAGAGAGGCAGATGCAGCATCACTCTTAATACAAAAATAATAGAAAATACATGTAAACTACATGTAACCAACTAGAAATGAGATTATACCCAATTACAAAATTACAAAGCTGCCCAAAACAAAGAATCCCAATTAAACCCTTGTTTTGCAAGAGAATCGGCCATCTCATTTGCTGATCTTCTTACCCATTGGACTTTCACTGTCATATTCCTTGTTAACCAAACCACTTTCTTAAGAAGATCTCTTAAACCCCAAAACAGTCAAATCTGGATCCAGAAACCATCCCAATAGCAGCTAGTAGCTCTGCTTTGGTAGAGTCTCCAAAACCCACTGGGCCTGAGGACAAAGCTAAAACAGTGCTGTCCTTATCTCTCAAAACCCCTCCTATGCCAGAGGGGCCAGGGTTGCCTTGGCTGCTCCCATCAAAGTTCAGCTTAACAAAACTCTCATGAGGGACCCAAACTGCACCATAACTCGAGGATGAACTACTAGCCACTGTTAACCAGTTTCTCCAGAAATCATAAAAAAAAAAAGATTGGGACAGGTTTGTTGTTCTCAGTTAGTGTACTGCCTAGTGTTTTAAAAGCGCAAGGTGAGGCGCTCTGCGCAGGCCATTTTGAAGCAAAGCGCAAAAATACAAAAAAAAAGGATAAAAAATAAAAAGTCAGAAAATAAAAAAAAAGCCAAAAATTCAAAAATATTAAACATAATATTATATATAAACTTACATTTTAAAATTAATGTTTTAAAGAACCTATTATCTAAAATTAAGATACATAAACATAACATGTAAAATCCACAATCTCTTTTTTTTCCTCAATTGCATTACTTCATGTAGCCAATGTGATGTAAAACATATTACATTCTTGGTTCTACGAGCCGCCTTTGTGCCACGCCCCTCGAGAACCCTTGATCTAGGACCAGCTCAGTTCTAGTCCTTAGAGAATGTTGAATGGTCTTCTTGATCAGAGTTTTATGGCTGTCAATGGCTGTAATGGCTTCTTGAAGGAATAAGAGAGAAAATAGGGAAAGAAAGAAGAGAGAAAATACCTGGAATCACTCATAGGGTGCCTAGAATCACTTTAGGGCATGGGAATCAC